GGCTGGTGGGTTTGAACCACCAGCCTTCTGGTTAGCAGTCAAGTGCCTTAGTCACTATGCTACCAGAGCTCCTTTTGAGATATAAAAGAGATTAAATAAGCAAGCAAGCAAGAGAGAGATGGGGTAAAACAGAAGTCAAGACACATGAAGAAATCCAAGGAACCAAGAAGCAGAAGCTGAAGAGACAAGGACTTTCCTCCAGAGATAACAGAAAGAAAAAGCATTTCCCTAGAGCTGGCACCCTGAATTTGGATGTCTAAGTCTCCTAAATTTGGTTATGCCAAGAAGTTTGGAACGCAGCTACCTTGCCAACCAACTGGAAGAGATCCATATTTGTGCCCATTCCAAAGAAAGGTGATCCAACAGAATTTGGAAATTATTGAGCAATATCATTATCACATATAAATAAAATTTCACTGAAGACAACACAAAAACGGTTACAACAGTATACTGACAGGGAACTGTCAGAAATTGAAGCCAGATTCAGAAGAGGGTGTGAAACGAGGGATGTCATTGTTGATGTCAGATGGATCCTGGCTGAAAGCAAAGAGTATCAGAAAGATGTTTACCTGTGTTTTACTGACTAGGCAAAATCATTTGACTGTGTGGATCATTAACAAATTATGTGTAACATGTGAAGAATGTTTACTCATTCTGTGTGTGAAGCAAAAAATCTGAGAAGCTGGACTATATGAAGAAGAACACAGCATCAGGATGGGAGGAAGACTCATTAGCAACCTGTGATACACAGATGATACAACCTTTCTTGCTGAAAATGAAGAAGACTTGAAACACCTATTCCTGAAGATTAAAGACCACAACCTTCGGTATGGATTACTCCTCAACACAAAGAAAACAAAAGTCCTCACAATTGCACTAGTAAGCAACATCATGATAAATGCAGAAAATACTGAAGTTGTCAAGGATTTCATTTTACTTGGATCTACAATAAACACCCATGGAAGCAACAGTCAGGAGATTAAATGACATACTGCAGTGGCCAAATCTGCTGCAAAAGACCACTTTAAGATAGATCCGGCAAGATGGCGGACTAGGCAGAAAGACTGCACAGACCCTCTCCAACAAAGAAAAGGGAAACCAATTAACACAGACACAGAAGATAATCCTTACAGCATTAGCAAAAAAAAAAAAAAAAAAATGAAAATGTCAACAACT